AAATCAATTATACAGTATTTCATTAATAATCACCACCAACCATTGTTTATAACATCTTAAGGGGAATGCCCTTCCTGCTTTGGAGTAAAAGGAGTTGGACTGTGCCCCTTGCCACCCTGGAACTTTAAGCAATTCACTTCACCCTCTGTGCCTCAGTGTCCCCATCATAAACAGAAATAACAAAATGAGTCAGTCAATACATGTAAAGTATTTAGAACAATCCCTGGCATACAGTAAGTACTATACATATGTTGGGAAACATAATTATTTATTAGGTTGTAGCAAGGACTATGAAAATACTATACATAAAAGCATTCAGTACCAGTATCCAACACACAAAAAGGAATTCAATAAATGCTTAAGATGAAAGACCAAATATCCATCCGTCACTTCATGGGTGAAAAATAATCTGTTGATAATCCTCTAGCTTCCTTGGAAATATACAGGAATACAGTCAGAGCAAACCCTATGTCTGGCATCTTACCTCTGCAGCCATGAAAGCCAAGGTGTGCGTTCCATGGGTGTAGCCTGTGACACAGCAGACGACGGCTAAGCCACAGCAGGAAAGCAACATCGCAATCAACAGAGACAGAACTCGACCATGGCTGCTCATGGGTGTGGTGGGAGAAAAGGAAAGCTGAAACAGACAAAACAGGAAGGCAGCTCAATCTCCACAGCAGTGTCCAACTTCACTGAGAAACTTGAGGTCGATCACGGAGTCTTTGCTTGGGGGTCTGTGCTAAGCACAGAAAAGCATCGCATGATCATATGGTCCAAATTCTCTAATGACCTGAATATGCCTATGAGCTGATATTTAGAGATCTGTATCATTTAATTTACCAAATATAACAATATACATTATATTTTCATCTCATATTTTCAAGGATCCTGCTCCCACTGGGATTGGAAGCCTCAGGAAGCAATCTTCCAGGGGTATGCAATTCTCTCTTGTGACATTCCACAGGACTCAGGACAGAGCCATGTTCCCTTGTGCCTCTTTCTCAATCTTGCTCTAGTCCTCCTTCACTTGGAGGACATTCCTAGGTATATTAGCACTAGGACAACTGAAATGTAATCCAGATGCTGATTTACTACTATTACAATGTTATGTTAACATTATGTGAGGAGAGGCAACAGCTGGAAAAGAAGGCCTGGGGCAGTGATTCCTCAGGTAGTAGGTGTAGATAACAAACTAGTTTGGGAGGTTAGAAGCTCCTGTTTGTGACCTGGAATGGGGGTTGAATTGTGAAAGAAATACAGGCTTTGAGAGTGAGATTGAGTCACAGAGGTGCAAGGGCCACCTGATCCACGCGGACTGGGTAAAGACAGGGCAAACAAGGCCTTGGAGTGGATTCAACTGAGGGGCAGAACTGCAGGTACATGTTTACCTGGGACCCATGGGATTAGTGTAGGAGCACTAAGGAGTTGAAGGTTCACCTGAGTAAAGCCAAGAGGCAGATCTGCACCCAGACAGAAAAGGGTTCAGTTCTCCCTCACCCAGGAAGCTGAGAAAGCTAATTCAGTCCCAGCCCGGGAGTGGAAACAGTATAAAGCAGTCAGAAAGATGAGCTCTGAGAATCAGGGTAAGAGGGGGAACAATGGAAGGAGACATGAAAAGAAAATATCTAGAAGAGACCAGACTTTATTCAGTTTATATGTCAAGGTTTCCTTGCACTGTGATCAAAACAGTCCATGTAGATGAACTCAACACATGTGGGCTATAACATAATAGACCACAGGGTTGGGGAGGAAACCTCCCCAGGAGACAATAATTCGGCATCCCTTGGCTGCTGCAGAAAGTTCCTCGTGAAACAGGCAATGCGCACCTGATCCAGAAGTCTCCTCCTTGAGAGCTGCCCCACACATGCCTGCTGTGGCTCAGTCATGTTACACAAATTCAAACCTGGCAAACGTGGGATGAAGCAAGCAAAGAGCTCAGCTAAAAACTCACGTATTCAAATCGGTCCTTGCAAAGCTGAACCATCAGATGCAGAAACACAAGTCCAGCAAACCAGAGGCACCACATGACCACTTCTTCCACCGTCTGAACATTCAGCACACCGAAAATGAAAATGAACTTGTAGAAAATAAAATTCCAAAACTTGTCTTTGAGGTGCTAAAAAGAAAAATGTTTATAATGGTTGAGTACCATTAAACCTAAAAGCTTAAGAGAAGTTAATATAACAAAAGCTGGCTTCTA